TTTTTTTTTTTTTTTTTTTTTTTTTTTTTTAAATATATATCGATTTTAGCTTAACCTTTTTATATTTTAATTGTATTATATAATATACATCTCGTAATTAGGACCTCTATGTAAACCACTCTTGTGATGGAGCATCCTATTAAAAGATTGTTATTATTAGGTCGACAGATCATCGGCCGAAGGTCGAAGCCAAGCGCGGGTCATCAGAAAGACTTGACCGAAACCGCAAACCGCGCATGAAAAGTCTTTGGCGCCCAGGGAAAACAGAAATAAACTGACGAGAATAAAGTATGCAAGGGAACAGCCTATGGGTGCTTCGAAGCTTTTGCGGCTTTTGTATTCAAGTAATTTTGCACCGCCGGTCTTACGGCTTTGAGCACTGAAAGTGGTCAATTACTAGGCATAACTAGAAGCATATAATGCTTCTGGCGTAACGAAATATACTGTAAGAAATTATAATTTGATTTGACTGTCTCTGCGCTGTTTTTCAGAAAAATGGTTGATGAACGCCACCGTCAGCTCGTCGAACATTCTGCTGATAAAGCGCGTCGAGAAGGCGAGAGAATGGAAAGCAAAAGACAGTCGAGCGAAAGGGTTTGTCAGAAGGAACGAGATAGACAGGAAAAAGCGGAGACATGGAAACACGAACGAATAGAAGCCATGAAGGAAAGGAGAACACAGCATCAGGAAATGGAGAACAGTTATGAGAGAGCGGCACAAGAGCACGAGTCACAAAGACTGGTAAGTGACCAGGAAAAACTTACAGCACCTTACCGCCGGTCAGAACTTAAAATCATGTAAAATAGCCAGCTGCGTAGCATGGTGGTTTTGGTTGGGCGCGCAAAGTAATAAAGGCGGGCGAGGGCAGAGAAACCGGGAGGAGATTGGGGCGGGCGCGACTTCGCTGCTCGTTCGCGCGTTTTTGTGGCTTCGCCACTCGGTTGCTCTGGATAAAACCACCATGCTACGCAAGCTAAACTTAAAATATATTGCTATTAAAAACATGGAAAGAAGTACTCGGTGAAAGTACTGATACGTTGACGTTCTGAATGGTCGCACCTTAAGACCATAATTGGGAGTGAACGTGTTAAAACGGGTTTGAATTTCCAAGAAAGATTGAGATGATTGGGGAATAAGCGAGCCACTCCTCTGAGCAAACACCACAACCCGGCACTTTTGACTTACCGCGGTGTTATGGAAATTTTAACACTTTCTGTTGTGAATATGACAGGAAAAGGATTTGAAAATAGTTTACAAAGCCTTGGGTACGCTGAAGGTGTTCGAAAAGCCCTAACAATTCTACTGGTATATTCCTTTATCGTTTCGGGGTTACTCAAGCAATAGTTGTCTTTCTGTGTTATGGTACATTTGCATGCAGTGCTAGTACAGTTCTGGCTATATATCTTTTTCTCCCGACGTTTATAACATAAAGAGAGCCAGGAATAGACTGTATGAAATACATTCGTTACCCAGTTAATAATGCGTTAAAAATAATGTATACCTCCGGAAAAGAGAAATTACATCAGTAACAAGCAAGGGTTTTTTCCATTTTTGACTCTGTAGAGTGGAATTAAGGATCGAGAACAGAAAAGAGTGGATATGCATCATGATCGACTGGTTGCAGAAAGAAGAATGGGAGAAGAAAGGGAGGAACAAATGAAACAACGAGAAATGGAACGACAGATGAAACTAGACAAGATTAAGAGCACCGCAGAACGAAGAAAGGAAATGAGAATTCATGTGAAACAACAAAATGAACAGAAATACCGAGCAAGCATTCTTCCTTAATCAAAACAATAAAAGCGGTTTCCGTCAGTGTTGTCATAAGAACGCCAATACGTATATAGTAGGCGGCCGTCGTGTACGCCGCACTAAGGTCAGCAAGGTAGAGAACATTCGAGCCAAGGAGGCACACATGGCTGCGGTCACCCTGTTTCTGTAGCATGCAACACCTAGGAGATTTGGTACTCCTGTGTGTATGGGATGCTGGTTCATGCGAGGGTTACTGCAGTAGTATATCGCCGGAGAGACATAGGAAAAAAGTTTCTTGTCTCCAACTCGCAGAACCAGAATAGTAATAATCTTTAATAGGTACTCCTTAAAAAGGCTATTATGTAACTATTTGCGGATGGATAAGAAATAATTAGATCTAATAACAAGGAAAACTAATGGCTAAATCCAATAAAATCAATGAAATTCTATGAATCTATAATCAAAGACGATAGGTGGTCTTTCATTGCGCTCTTAAAGGCAGAAATTGATGGTTGTAGTTTCACTGCCCTATAGGGGAAAGATCGTTGCCCAGAAGCTCAGTTTGAAAAGTGGGATTTCGAGGTTGTTACTGTTGCGCGTCAGCCTGTCAAGGTTCAAGATTTTTATGCAACTGATTTGGTGAATACTGAGACAGCTATCCCGCTCAACTATCCCCTTGGTTCCAGAGACTTTTAACGCGCGGTCTCCGATTTTTCTGTCAAGTCTTTATAGTGACCCGCGCGAAACTTTCTCGCGGCTTCGGCCGAAGACCCGTCGGCCCGTAGTCGACCCCGAAACATTTCCGCCGCACGCGACAAAAAAGCCGCCGGTACCCAGGGTACCAGGGCGGGAGCATAGTGCTAGATATACAGCTATTTCGAGAAAGGTTGTCGGAAAAAGTGCACGCGACAACCCGAAAGGTATTGAGGGTGGTTTTGAGTTCACCGTTCTTCAAAGAAATTTGAGGGAATGGCACGAGAGGCCATGGAGGTATGTTTGCGAGTGCTAAAGGAAAGTAACAAAAGTAGGTTCAACAGCTGCAGTGTCAGGAACAGTGAATTGATCGTATCCCATATTACCTTTCGGGATTGTCGCGTGCACATTTTTTCCGACAACCTTCCTCGAGATGGCTGTATACGTCGACGTTTTGCGCTTCGCAATCTAGCTATCCGCCATTATATATTCACCTTCCCTTCGGGATTTTGTTGTGTGGTATACATTGCATTACACAGAGAGGGAAAACCGGTTTCACTAAAAGTCCCAGTGGACATTCAATCGACTCGAGACCACACAAGAAAGAAAGATCACATTATTTATGAAGAAAGATATGCCGTTTTTAATTTCCTCATACAAATCCTTCCAGTATATTTCAAAGTTTAACGAACAGTTCCGACGCTCATAATTCGAGCTGCGATCCTAGCGGTTATTATATGGAGGCCAGCCCTAACTGGCGAAAGTGGGCGATAATTAATTCAGGAGATGGAAAATAGTTGCAGTACTGTATATAACCAATATTGTTGAAGTGGAAAGAATGAGGCACATTAGTGTTAACATTTGTGAAACAAATAGATGATTGTGTAAATACGTATGGAAAAAAAATTAGAATAGAAAAATGGAACGACCTTAAACAACGGTAATTCTATTTCAAGGCTATGTGCACAAGGAGCTGGACGATTTTTCGTACGGTTGAAAACGGTTTCTGGAAAACTGCCCACCTACCCCTCCTCTAACCCAACATTTTGCTCCAAGTAAGACGCAAATGTTAACGTCGAGTAACGGAGTTAGGGGAGGGGTAGGTTGGCAGTTTCCCAGAAACCTTAATTGATCCAAAACTTGTGCGTTTCGGGGGTTCCGCTCACACGGAACCACCTTAAACGTACGAACATTTAGACATCAAGCCGTTTAAGTTCCAATTCAACTCCAAGGAAAGTCTCCTGCATTTGACTTATTGAGCGGGTCCAAATAGACGCGATTAAGTTTGATTAGCACGCAAATTGATTTTTTCAGCGACGTTTCACTGCCGTTTCATCACCATCATCATCACCACGATCGTAATACCAGCACTTATCTAAAAAGCTCTTAAAATAACACCGCAGTAGTTTTAATATCACTCTATTAGACTCAACATAGTTATTATTCATTTGTCTCATCGCTTTGATGAAGTGACATGCGTCCTGAGCAAACTACACTCTCTCTTCCTCTCAACTCTTGTTGGCAGTACTTCATTACGTGCCTTTCTGCCTGCACCAAATGGGAAATGATAAAAAAAGAAAAACAGGCAAACTGTGAATAAGTGCAGTTTTCAATTGTCAAGAGATAGTTTTTGTTTGTCTTTTTATTATACTAGATAATTAAATGGTAACCTGAGAAACTTTAGGTTCGATTTCCGCCGTCTCCCGGGTCTGGTCTTTGATCCTCCCCGAAGAAAGGCGGTAACATGATTGGCTGAAACCAACAAAGGAAATCGGACGCGTCCAGCCGCTCCTTCGGGGGGATGGGTGCGGGCTTATTTTCCCGAACGGCGGTTGGTAATCAAGCCTAGAGAAAGGTTTGATTAGTTAAATTTTATTTTTATTTTAGGGCACTAATGCCACTGCATTACGTAACTGCAACATACTGCAATAATATTGTATCTAGCCAGGGGTAAGCCTGCTTATGAAAGAATATTATTGAATTTTTCAGAAATTGTTATTACAAGGGCTTTTTTGCGGGATGAGTTCAGATTTAATGTGTTCGCCAGTCATCACAACATACCTTGGCTCCAACCAAGAGTTCCTCAGTTTCAAAGTCCAGCTCGCTGGAAGTAAGGGTGCAATTATCCCCTCCTGTCTTCATTACATGCTTGAATACCTGTCAAAAGGAAACAACAAACTTGATAACATGAGAAGGTTTACATCAACAGGGATTCAGGATGGGAGGAGAGAGGGTGAACTGATAGCTAAATAAGTAACATTATAATAATAATAATAATAATAATAATAATAATAATAATAATAATAATAATAATAATAACAATAATAATATACAATATTTATAGAGCACTAATTCCCAATTACGGTCCAAAAGCACATTATTGATGTTAAGTTTTCTTTGTAATTTTTATTTTGGATCATGACAATAAAAGTTACTGTTTGTTGTTTCAATTGACTGGACATATTGTTGCTCCAGCTTTACACTCCCCAGACTATCAGTCAGCTTGCTTTGCTCGCCAATGTTTCTTCTTCTTCCCTTGCTGACTTTTTTCCCCCTTTTTCCACCACTGCGGAGCCTTGTCTTAGGCTATACAAGACTTGTATAGCCTAAATTCATTAAGTGTCTTCTACAATAAATAATATTTTTATCAACATTTATGATTTAAAAATGCAGAAATAAAGGGATTAAAATGGTGTCACTTAATTCAACAATAGCTGACCTCGGACTGACTTACTTTGTCATCATTAGCTTCATGGTCAATCACAGTGATCTTGTAAAACAGTGGTTCATCCTCAAAACAGCATTCAGCAAACCCCTCCTCTGGTGGATCACATGCTATTTAAACAAAACTTCAGAATTATTCTGAAAGATGAGATAATCAGCACTGTCACAAGCGTTAGAAAAAGAAAAAATCTTGAGTTCCTGACAGGATTCAGACCTATGGAGAGACTTACGGAGGAGAAAGGCCAAACACTGGGGTCATTTATTTCCAAGCTTAAAACTCACCACCATTCTTTATACCAACACAGTGCAATCCTAACAATAAGCAGGACGTGTGTCATGTGAACCTAGTATATTGTGGCCTTTCCCTCCATCTCTGTAACTCAGTGGATAGAGCACTCACCTGCTGTGAATCTTGTCACGGACTCCAGATTTTTTTTTTGTCCCACATTTATGACATGCTGTCATATACCAATCTTATAGTTCACCATCTTTCTTTATTTCAAAACGTTTTCAGCAAAATGCTTGCTCACAATCAACAAAGGATTGTCCATTTAATTATGCAGGCCATTCAAAAGAAAATACTGTATTATGTGGTTTTTATCAGGACAAAGGCCACTGTCTGCTATTTAGGGGAGTGTCTGCTTTAATCAGGTGTCTATGAATTGGGGTTCCACTGTTCCTACCTAGGCAAGATGTCCATCTTGCCATATTTAACTTACTGTCATTTAGTATTAATAATAATTCAGTCCAAGAGCGTGCACTGTGCGCAGCATATAAATCTCAAACTGAATCATACAAGGAACTCCTCACTTGCGCCAAGCTGCCTATGCTTTATAACAGGTGTTTGCAAGACATTGCAACACTAATGTATAAAGTAAAATATGGGATGGCGCCAAGGTGCGTATCTGAGTTATTTACGATCAAAAGCACCCAACAATGCCTAAGAAACTGTGATTTTGAACTACCCCGCTTTGATACAGCGGCCTGTGGGAGGCATTCGCTGCACAACCAAAAACCTTTCATTTGCTCAAAGGTCAGTAGTGAGCTCAGAAACTTGACAAGCTTCAAAGCATTCAAGAAACATATATGGGGTGTGGACCTTTTGAGCCACATAGATAACAATAGTAACTGCAGTGACCTGTGTAAATTTTGAGTCGTGGACATTTGTACATAGTTTTCGGTTTTAGGTAAGATCATTAATTTAAAAGTCTTGTAATAGATAAATGTGCCAATACGTAGGAAAGTGGCCCCAATTAGCAAAAACTGTTAAGCTAAATACATTGATACTAAAATAAAATCATTATTATTGTTAATATTAATATTATTACTTTTATTATTATGGACATCTATGTGTATAAAATGAGCTTTTTAATTACTCACTTTCTCCCATCACACCATACTGCTTTTTATCCTCTGTCAAAAGAATTCCCTAAAAGTGAGAAACATACAGTTGAACCTCTCTACAATGGCCACCTTGGGGACAGAAGAAAGTGGCCACTGTGGAGAGGTGGCCATTGTAGAGAGGTTGAAACAAGAGTGAATGTATGGACTGTCTGCCCAAAAAAATTGCCGTTGTGGAGAGGTGGCCCATTAGTGGACTGGTTCCACTGTAACTGAATTACAATAAAGCTTGGGCCTTTTCCTTCCACTTTTGAAAATGGTTCGCTGTTTTCATTTCCAAAAATCACAGAGCCAAAGAGACACTGTTCAGCTGCCAACAACTTTCTCTTGATTCAGAGTTTTAATTTTACTAGACTTGCCACCTACTTTGTACCCTGCAAGCAGTGGTTTCTCTTGGCAGGATGCTACGCTACAAAGGGAGAGAAACCACTGCCAGCAACCGTTTGCTTTTCCATCAAGCAAGCGTGTCCACGTGATGCCTACATCAAAACGTCAAATGACATCACTTTCTCTTGTTTTGCAAGAAACGTTAGCAAACCAACAACTTTGCAAATGAATCACACTTTTTTGTACACTTCTTTGCAGTTTTTGCATGACTACCACATTAAAATGCCTTATTTCGTGGTTTATGGAGATTATGAATAAGCAACAACAGACTTTTTTTCTCTTTCTGAGCCTGGATATGTTCCCTAGGAATTCAACTCCAGTTTGGTTTGCCTACATTTGACAAAGTAAGAGGGTAGGAATAATGAAAGAGCACATATTCACAGCACGCTTGCATTAACAGGGGCTAGATCCAGACATTCAAAGAAGAGGGGTGGGGGTGGTCATCCAGACCCTGAGATAAGGGCGGGTTCAGTCTCAAAACATTTTTCCAGGGGCCCAGCCCCCTCCCCTGGATCTGCCACTGATTAGAGTAGCCTTAACCAGTTTTAAACAGGTTTTACCTGTTCAAAGTTAATTTATTCATCCAAGGCCGTGGATAACGTCTTGATCAAAGACGCAGACAGTTGCATGCAGTGGTTTCTCTCCACTCACAGTGTAGCATCCAGGCTACACTATGAGTAGGTACCCTGTGAACATCCAATCACTGCTCACAGGTTACCTACTTTGGCCTAGTTTTGACATTACGGACTTTAACTCGCCTTACTTTGTAATACCAATCGATCTCACTCTTGTCCCTGTCCACAAAAGGGTTCCAAAAAAACCTGGTTTGGATCAGATCGGATCAACCCTTGTAACTCACTAAATATCAAAAGGTTTTTAAAGTGATAGGGTCACTCTGGGGATGATTTGATCCGCACCGATCCAGTTTTGCTGAGTTTTGTGAAACTAGCTGAAGTTTATATCGCGAGATACAAGAGAATTGACGACGTTTCACTGATCTTGATGAGATTTCCGTACAACCCCATACCTGGATCTTTACCTGAAACCAAGAGCCATCGTCAAAGAAACACAAGTAAGCAAACCCCTCCACGTTCGTAGCGCACATTCTCACACGACCGCCATTTCTGCGGTTAGAACTTCATGTAAACCAGGATGGCGATCTCCCTGGAAACGAGGTTGAGGTTTTCCCGCTTCAAGAAGACCCAAGGGAAAGTTCATTTAATACGACAAGAGGGGGGGGGGGGGGGGGGGGGACTCAGCTATATCACGTGGTTTACAGATATAACAAATGTAGTCTCAGTAATTATTACACTCTTGTTCATCCCAAAAATGCTTTAGAAAATTGTATCACAACTGTATCTCAAGTTTGTCATAGTATAAACCACTGAAGACAATAACGGTAAATATATTTAATACAGTCTAGCGATCTTTTTTCAGGGGAGCAAAGGAATTGAAGGAGGAGGGGAGGGGGCTCTCAAATTTTTTCGACTACCAAGGAGGGGGCTCCTAAAAAATTGAACCGCTAGCGAGGGGGGCTGCTAAAATTTCAAGCTTCGAGTTTCAATATCTTCATCCCCCCCACCCCCTCCCTTGTCATATTAAATGAACTTTCCCCAAGAACTGTATGAAAGTGAAATGAGTAAAATCCTAAACTTATTTTATGTGGATTAAAGGTTGTGTTTCACGTTGAACTCACAAAGTAAAATTTAAGATTACAATTATCATGTTACAATGAACTAGTCTGCGACACAGTCGTTTTTAGTGTCGTCACCGGAGGAGCGTTGCGTGACGACACTAAAAAACGGCTGTGTAGCAGACTAACAATGGACAGGAGCCGAAAAATCGGAAAAATTTTAAAGAACCAGGTAATGCCCAGGCCTCTTTGGCTGCTGCATTTTATTTTCCCGGTGGGTATTCCTGGGAATTCTCCAAATCCTGACCCTATCTCTGTCCAAAAAATGTCATTTTTTACACTAGCCTGAGAAAACAGCCGACATTTCACGACGCCACCACTGGTTTCCCCGCGAAATGACGTCTGAAGAAAGAGCGTAGAAATTCCATACTGATGACGCGTCACTACCCAGATCGGGGTAGTGATTCTGATAGAAGGTACCGAGTGGGAAATTTGATTCAACCAATCAGAAGAAGTACCCAGGTCTTAAATATAGCTGGAAATTTTCCCTACGGGGAGTGCGCGCTCTTATTGGTTAATTCGAGGCTACATGACTGTTGTATCTTTACGTGACTGTCCTTCGTGCACAATGCACGATGTACCGCGACTTAATTTTTTCACAAATTGCTCACACGAGCAGTATTAAAAGGATGAAACGCGGATGAATCTTAACCCCTAAGCAAGCAGTTTGAACCAATTTTACTGGGGGCAGGGAGGGGAGATGGCGGCGACTAGAATAATGATAAGAAATGTATGACAATGATTGTTAGCCTGCAGCGCAGGCGTATTTTGGGCGGGCGAGCAACCTCGTCCCCAGGGCTTTTCCCTTAAAAAATGGGTGGGGCGCCCCACCCTGGGGACGAGGTTGGCGGGCGAGAGCTGCTTGTTCATGTTCGTACTGTTGTAACCGCTATCGTTGTTATGACGGAGGTAGATTAGGGAGAATAAAAATAGTAACCCTAAGGGTAGGTGCTAGAGCGAAAGAAGGAAAGAGGGGAGGAGAAGCGGAGAAAAAAATTTTCTGTTCTCTCTTCCTGCCCCCCGCCCCGCTCCATTTTGACTCGCCCTATTTTCTCCCCTCGTTTCGAGTTTCAACATGCGCTTTCCCGAGCAAAACATTCGCACGCCCGAAGAAAACGCGTGCACTGCAGGCTACATTATTGTTGACTTGATTAGTCAGTCCCAGTATGTGACACTACCGTAAAAGTTACCTTACAACAGTTGTATGTGAATATAATATAATTTTTTTTACATACGGGTTGTTGGGAAACATACATTGTTCAGCTTCCAGGATTTTGGAATTTTTGGGGTCTGGTTTGGACCTAAATGGGACTATTATGGGTATCAAAAATGTGGCCTCATTCACCCCTCACCACCATGAAGCCTAAATTTGCTCCACGGGCTTTTCTCGCGCACACAGGACCGCTTCCGATTGCCACGCCGAATTTTCATTTTTCGAGTTCCCCCATGGGGGTATACATTGATCGAATTTCAAGCTCTCTTGTGACGATCTGGAGTACGCGATACGATTATTAGGGTTTCAAAAATCGTTCTCGGGAGGTTTCTCTACAGCTGGCTGAATAATTCTTCATCTGAATTTTTCGTTAATTCAAAAATAACCGGTGTCCAAGCCTTGCATACAACCAAGAGGAATTTCAGAGAGACCGACTGGAGTCATAACACAAGTCAACAGGTAATAATTTTCTGTCAAGAAAGTGAAAGTTTCACTCTACATCGTCGTTGGCAAACCTCCTGGTAAATTTTTCTAAATGTTTCGACGGAAATATAACATCAATAATGCGGGAAGGTGTGCTTTTAAATTCAGAAACTCTAAGTATTTGTCTGTGTATTTGGTGGTAATCAAGTAACCTAACTAAGGTCATTCAAGGTTAACCTACAATATTCATTATTACCAAATTCTCATTTCTTGGATTGTTTTTGAAATTTACTGAGGGTTTCTGTTGTGTCGAAGTTTTTTTTCTGTCCGAACCCAGGTGACGAGCCAACTTAAAGCATGTTATAACAAAAACGATGACTGCGTGATTTGTGCTATTTAAGATGAAACACTCATATTGTTTCATTGATCCATCTGTACAGCCCGGGGGTACTCCTGGGAATTGTCGGTGGGGGTGTGCCGCCCGGTTTTCCACGTTTTCAGACCAAACCTCTAAAATCCATACCCGTAAGCGTTTTCAGACCTCGTCTTTGGGCAGAAATTATCTCATCAATACTTAGATTAGAGCGCAAACCAAAAAATTCTTCAAAGGCGTTTAGAATTCGCATATTACTATGTCTTTCTTATTCATTTGGAATTGAAATTCCCGTAGTTCCCTCGAAAACCAAACCCGATTCCGAATTAAAATGTATACCCGTTTTCAGACCAAAAAGGCCCAAAAACCATACCCTTTGGGGCTGCACATACCTATAGAGTGTTTTCACTCACGTGGCCAACATCTATGCAACTTTATTGGAACAAGAGAAAGCGTTTGCATAAAAAAAGAGTTCAACTCCCACAGGATTGGTTTGGGACACCAACGTGGCCGCCGTTTCATTGTTTTGGGACACCAATATGGCCGCCGTGACGTCATGTGAAAACACTCTATATGGCTTAAATAAGGGAGTCCCCCCCCCCCGGGCTGTACAGAAGCTTGGCTAGGGTGGTGCCACTGAGCCCCAACCCTTTCTTAGAAAAAAGGTTTTCATTTTGCAACCCTGGTAAAGACACTGAAGACTCTGGGATTAACCAGTAACTTACTGTCCTCACCAGATAAAAAAAAAATCATAACTGTCATGTACTTTTAATTTCCCTAAAGCCATTAAGCGCTATAAAAGAACACTTAAGCACTAACAGTAAAAATAGTAACTAGCTGGATGCGACAATAATTCGTGAATATGAATACACTAAAACCCCAATCCTGTTCAGCGGGCACAACTTTGATTTGCCAGGTAAAGGAGTTTCACCTAGCCACCTCCCCCTACCCCACTCCCTCACCGGGCCCAAAGTGTTTGGAGCAAAGACTAGGTTAGGAGCACACACTCAAAAAACACTTAGATTCTTCATTCATGCTGAATTCTCAACCAATGAACTTGCGCATGATCAATTTACACTTAGATTCAGTCATGCTGTATTCTCAACCAGAGAACTCGCGCATAATCAATTTTACATCATAAAAGAATGGGGTTTTTTGTAAAGTAAGCGCCAGTTTGAAATTCTCTCTCATTCGCGATCAATTGCTCTTTTATATTCTTTTTTCATGTTATAGAATGATCAAAATACAAGCACTGCAGGAAGTAACATTTTTGCTGTTTTGCAACGTGGTCGCGAGCGTCAATATAGAGAAGGATACTGGTGTGTCTGAGTTTGTGGCAGCTGTGTACGAACATGCTTTTGTCACAGTGGAAAACAGAACGACTGTACGCCCCCGGAAAGAGGCAAGAGCGATCATCATGCAAAACATGGATATATATGAAGAACAAATGCAAAAAGCTAAACAACAGGTAAAAAAAATCATAGCTGTGATTATGGATTGATAGACTTAACCATTCGATCCAAATTTATATAATTTGCATTAGAAGATAACAACGTTTTGAGATGACAAAGAGCCTTTAAAGAATTGAAGTTTGAAGTTTATTGATCTTCGTAGAAGTTGCAAATTAAATTAAATTAAAACAAACATCTTCACACAAAATCCTCTGTTCGATATAGGTTGACTAATCGAGGAGTCATCGAGGCGGGCAAAGGAAAACATAAAGTAATTTAACTAGGAAGAAATTATGAAAAGGAAAGAAAAAGGAAGATAGATCTATATAAATGACACAAGAAGACGGACTGAAGTTATTACAATACAACGTTACAAAATATACAAACTTATTGTACAGAATTGTTACTTCAGAACAAAATGACCGCTTGCACTTCGGCGAAAATTGCAAGATGTTTCTTCTCTTGTGACGACCTGGTCTAGTTTTCGATTCAGCCATGAGTCTTTAATGTTTAGTGCTACAGTGCCACTTGCCTGACAAATCGCGTGGAGAAAAAGGTCGAGAGTACCTCCTTTTATTCGTTATCTACAGTCACCCCTCTTTGTTCTGTAGGCTTATACATGTATTATAAATTAAGGTGCTTGGGTGACATGAAGGGTTTTAGTTTATGCGGAAAAGCAAATATTCAAACATTCCATCTTTGTTAAGGTGAATCCGTTCTCGAAATCCGTGGAGTGGATTTTTTTAACTAGAATGGTCCGACAGTCCAGGTAAAAGATTCAAGACCACAAAATTGCTGTCCAGTTCATCTTCCTTTTAAGCCCGCGGCAAATAACAAAAATTAAATTTATTGACTGACCCTGAGTGAAGTAGATGTGTATACAAACAGTACAAATACGGTACTGAATGGTTACAACAAAACAATGTCATGCTTATTATCATTCAATTTTTCAAAAATTCTTTTTTAACAGAATGCTAGTATCATCGTGTTTCCCGAATATGGCTTGACCGGGTTTGGCTACACACGTGAATCCTTTAAACCCTTCCTGGAGAACATTCCTGACCCACAAAAAGTTAACTGGAATGCGTGCCAAGATCAAGAAGCAAACTCCACTACACCTATCTTATACCGCCTCAGCTGCCTGGCTAAGACCTACGATATGTACCTTGTGGTCAATATGGGAGACATAAAACAATGTAATAACAGCATTGATGAACATTGCCCAGCTGATGGCCGCTACCAGTACAATACAAACGTGGCGTTTGATAACAAAGGCAAACTTGTGGTGAGATATCACAAGCAGCACCCTTTCTTGAACGAGATGAAAGTTGTCGACCGTCCAGTCAAGCCTGAATACATCACCTTCGAAACTCCTTTCGGAAAAGTTGGAACATTCATTTGCTTTGATGTCCTGTTTCATAATCCCGCAATACCATTAGTAACTCAGCATCAAATTGATCACGTGGTCTTTCCCACGGCTTGGTTTGATGTTCTCCCTCTGTTTGCAGCCATTGGATTTCACGGTTCGTGGGCTCAAGGAATGCAAGTAAATTTCCTAGCGGCCAACACTCATGTACCAGCGTTCTTAAGCACAGGTAGTGGTATCTATAGTCCCACTGGTGTTAAAAAATACTACAGAAGCCTTTCCGCCAAAGGTTCTCTCTCGGTTGCCACCTTGCTGAAAAACCCAAGGAGTAGGCAGAGAGATGTGCCTGAGGTCAACAATAAAGAGATACAGTCAATGAAAGCCAGCGAAGACTCGTTCTTCTCCGATTTGTTTGGTGATTTGTTCTTGTTCAGAGAGTTAACCAGACCTGAAGGCACTTTGGATGTTTGTTACAACGATAGCGACGTCTGCTGCTCTCTCACCTACAAGATGGCGGGCAAACGCGCCGACGAACTGTACGCTTTGGGCGTCTTTGACGGTCTTCACACCAAAGAGGGACAGTATTACTTACGAATCTGCGCCCTTATTAAATGTCATGGATTAAATCGCGACTCGTGTGGAAAACGCACATACAACGCAAGCACGATCTTCGACTCCTTCACTCTCCGAGGACAGTTGAAGACGCCATATATTTTTCCGCAGGTGGTGGCCGATGGCGTCTCTCTTCTCCCTGGAGAATGGGACCATAGTATGCCTGTCACGCAGATGCAGACCAAGCAAAAACTGTCAAAAGGTCTATTGACTGCAGCACTATTTGGACGAGTCTATAAACTGGATGACGGCTTGGTTAACCCCACCGAGGTATCCCTCGCCACACCCCTTATGTCGTCCAAGTGCTTCCTTGCTGCCTTGTTGTTAGTGAAGGCTTGTCAGTTTGTGATATGATCAAATGAGCAAAGTGACTTCCTTCTTCAGTAGCTTTTGACTCATTATAATCATAAAAACAAAATGCTTTGTGCATGGAAGATAATCTCTCGCTTAATGTGCTATATAGTCCTTTCACATCAGATTTAAAGCTAAAATATAAATAATTGATGTAATGTTGAAACAGGAAAGACTTTCCTCGGTTGCATCATAAGTCTTAATAATTAAGATCATCAAAGCCTTTTACATGTTTTTAAATAAAGTTTTTCTATTCTTTAACACATTCAAAATTGAAAATACAAGATGGTGGTAATAGTCTTGTCATGAACCGACAATTAAGACAAGTGTAATTTATTGTCAGTAATTATATGGAATGTATGGGTGGTTATTCCAGCCAGCCTACAACGTTAATTATGTAATAGTTTTTATTTATTTGTATTTTTTGATTATTTCTTCCAGCCGGTAGAATAAAGATTGTCGTTGTTGTTGACCTGATTGTCTTTTGATACCGTACACTATTTTTGGTCCTCAATTTCAAGCCAGGGGGCATTCCGATATCAAAAAGTGGAGGACACTGGTCGGAAAATAAGAATTAAACCCCTTTAGACCAAACTGGGCGTAGCCTGTTCACAGACCCTCTATTTTCTCTTCAAAGTCCGTTCAGCTTGCAAGATATTTTTCTTTCTCGCGCTCCGCGCTAGCCGATGTTTTCGAAAAGAACGAAAATAAAAATAAAACAACGTATGTGTACAGGCTAAACTGGGCGTGGCTAAGGCCTTATTTGACCTCTAATGGAGACTTTTTTTACAAGAAATGGCGGCTATTTTTATATGTAGATATATTTTCGCGCTCACGGCAACTGTAAGCGATATCTGTATCGGTAAAAATATATAACGTAAGAGCCTTCCGTTTAGAAATTATCTTTGGTCCTTAACCAATCCTTAACTGGTCTAAAAACACTTTGTGATCGAGGGAAACTATTTGGTTGAGTTACCCATCTACCTGTTGCATGTAACCGGTAAAAGAGAACTCTCCTTTTATACAACGTTACCCTGGGTGCAAGAGACTTTTCCGTTGCTCGGTTTCCGGTTTCGGTCAAGCCCTCGCATACATATCATTAAAGAGGATTGAGAGGTATGTGAAGGGTAGGCGCGCCTATTGGAAGGAGGGGATGCACTTACTTGAAGGGGCTTTATCCAGGATAATTAGACGTATATAGTTGGTTTAATGGAGTACTGGTAGCAACGGTGACAGCTGTCTCCTAGGAAGTAATCGGCTCTTGGTATTTACTGAAAACTATGATTGAATGACGGAAGCAACTCTTATCGTCCGTTCTAGCCGGCCATCTTATAGAGTTGTTCGTTGAGAGAGTTTAGGTTGAAATAGACTCAAAAGAGTCTCATTCGGAGACGTGAAAATTATAATAGATATGTTGTGGTTCAATTTTATCTTTGTTGTAAATGTTATTGCCATTTGTTTTTGGGATATGGTAATGTATGATAATGATTTGAAAGAAAGGAAGATAAAATTTAAACCAAGGATAACATTTAACCCCAACATATACCCCGCCTTTACTACTGAGATATTTTGTGCCTTTTCCCGAATACATTGTCTTCAGAAACTGAATATTCACTCTCTGCACTTATTATTGAAATCTCCGGGGGGTGGAGGATTGTGATATTGCCGTTGAGTAACTGTTTTGGTTAAAGCATTTACCATCCCCTAGCATTATAAGCAAGTGAAAGGAGAGTAAAACTATGTCTACATACTTCCCGTTACCCCCACACGGCAAGGATAAATTAAATGAATTTATCACATACTAACTACATCCTATGATCATATTCACCATTCTCGACATTCTCTAAAACCGAAATGCGTTTCCATTCCCTAGTAAAGTCAACGTACTGCCAATCAAAAGCACATTACAAACTGACCGGATGCACCGACATCTCCATCTAGCCACCTGCCGCGCACCATCCCACGCAAAAAAAATCGATCCCTTTCAGCATATGGCCTTACGATTAAGAAGAATTTCAGAGGAGACGAAACTTTAACTAATTGTTGTATTTTTATAGCAACCTCTTCATACATGTTTCCGTCTCTAATCTTTCTCTACCAATCGCATTTTATCTTTACTTTTGAATATTGTTACCGTTTGGTCCATTCGTTTTCACCTAGCTTTCCTAGCCCCTGATCATGCCTGATTCTTGGGGGCCGATAAATGGGCCATTCTGAAATCCGATCAGCCTTTTAAATGTAAAAGTTCCTTCTCCCCTCCCCTACCCCGTCAGTTTCTCTTTTTTGCTCAAGTGTGCGCTGTTGGCGTGACTTTGCATATTCCTAACTTTTCGAGACTTTCATGTGCATTCCGCAATGTTTTGTAGGATGTGTAGGTGACTCACATTTCATCAGTTAAAATTCACTGTTATGTAAGGAAATCAGCTCAAATTAATCGTCACTTCTTCCGCTAAGAGGAACCGTAAGAGGACAACTGGTCGCTGCTCAGAGTGAAATTAATCACAAGAACATCAAATCACTCCCTGTTTCAGTAATAAGAGTACAGTACGTCTAATAACGCTGTGGAATATACAGGTTGGTCTCTTTCTTGGCTTTTAATTTCCCTTCATTACACGTATTTTGTTAATTCAAAAGAGATTCTTTTCACTCACGAATTTATACAAACTCTTAGTTGGGAAGTAATAAGGGCGCTTGGAGTTGACGTAAACTAAAATGTAGACAATGTTCGCCGTGATTTTGTCAAGAAGGCGTACATTTACAGTTTGTGTTTATATCAGTACAGGGCAATGGCAATTCAAACTTTGTCTGCTTAATGATTTTCTGAGCTTTTACGCGGGGCTTTTTGCCTTCTTCATGGAATGGTAAAATCTATTAATTATAATATATATATAGTGAGTGATACATAAGATGCGCAGGTTATCGTATGGGTAACAACGCAATATCGCTTCCAATTCGAGCGGCTCAAACACCACTGAATTAATGGGTTGAAAAAAACAAGGCACAGGGACTGATTTTCTGTGTACCTGTTCCTGAAACGTTCTAAAACAAATTTTCGAAAAAATGTGATGGCTCTAAATAAATTCTCTAATTTTTGAAGGTGGCAGGAAGCCCTGCTTACTAACTTTATTCTGCTTAGCTTGGGGGTGGGGGATGTAGGTAACTTACAATCTGTGTTACCGGTGAGATTTTGGGTTGTTTTTAACTTAAAAACAAGCCGAGCTGTGTACTTAAAATAACTAAAAGGTATAACGACTTTCACCAGCCAAAAACTAAGAACAACTGCTTTACTACTTCAGTATATATATAGTTATTCAAGACCAATATCACAAATTGGTAATGGTCAAATTGCTTTATATCGAAGCGTAGTTTATTTTGAGTGGGCACAATGAATAATTGCTTCAATCTCTATACAGGACCTAGATTTCATTGTCAACGTTAATGTCAATCATATTGCAGAAATATCATCTGACGCAAACATTTTCTATATACTGAAACTGCCATCGGTGTTTTTTTATTTACTGTATAATAAGCTTATATAATAAAATGAAGCATGTCATTGATAACAGACCCATCGGAAGCAAGGTAATGTTCCGCCAGTACCACTTGCAGGATAACAAAAAAGCAGCGGAAACGTTCATACTGATTAATTGCAAACAATCCCACGCGACTGTTCTGGCCTGTATTTAACTTACACCCTAAATATCACTGGTTCCCAGCCTGCTGATTGTGAAGCTTGCACCTGCAATATTAGAGACGACTTTTCCCTTCTTAGGAGTAGGAAGTCGCAATCTTTTGGAAATCACGTGACCTTACTTTACGATAACAACCTTCGAGGCTGCATAATTCCTCATATCCTACGAAAGCAGAGCTCAATAATTCAAATGTTTCAAAGTTCAAACAATGTCGCACGCTATTGAACGATATCTGGAAATATCTTTACTAATACAAAAAATAGAACAAGCGTACCTGAAAGAATATTGAATTCAACCAGAATTATGTTGTTTTCCTATAGGTTGCACATCTGTATAGCACTTTTTTATGGCTTCTGGCTTCTGCTTCATCTGTACCTACATCAACAAAAGAAACAACCAATTATGCCAGGCTATGTCGTGTTCTTGTCGATTTGAGAACTTGTGCTCTCAGGGATTGCTTTGATGCCATCTTCATACCACCAACTCTTCACAAGGTCTTGGCAGCTACTCAACCCACATTGCAGTCTCTTAGATCACGAAGAATCATCAATGTCACACAATGGGGAAATCTCTTTCCTTCAAACCCTGCTTCAGTGTCCTCAACAGATTTCGACATCACCTTACTCATGATTCTTTTTAGAAACATATGTGGTATGGCTCCACTAATCACTGGATGGGACTCCCTGCCTGTGGCCACGGACGTCAGCCGTGAAGCAGACATTGCACGAATCAAATACTTCAGAAATAGCATTTATGCTCGTGCCGATCACGCTTCTATCGATGATGCAACTTTCAACAAATACTGGAAGGAAATTCGAGACACTCTAGTACGAATAGGAGGAGTTAAATACAAGGTGAGAGATGAAAAATGTTTTGGGCGTTTTGTTTGAACACTAACTAGGTTTGATATGTTACTTCCCTGCATTCACAGTGTAATGAAAGTTAAAACACTACTCAGACTAGTCACACCAGTGCAGTGATTCATATGTTGCCCGTTCTATTTGAAGGACTCTGTTGACTTTTTCGAAGTTTGCTGTATGGATCCCGATATGCAGCAACATTACAAAGAACTCCTTCATCAGTGGAAAAGTGATGAAGATAACATAACAGATGAGTTGAAACAAATTGTCACCAATATGAAAGAATTTGGTACAGCCATTAAAGAAGTGAGCAGCGACGTTAAAGAAATTGGTATCGACGTAAAAATCCTCACAAAAAAGCTTGATGACTTGATGGCATCAACCGTGATTTCTGCCAGTGAAACAAATGATGAAGGTGAGTATATAAAGACTTTTAACGACTTAGTAATGGCGCCAAGGAAAATACACACTGCAAAAGGCAACTCATATGCTCTGCTTAAAAAAACAGGGTTTGAATTTCAGCTAGTAAGTTGCTCTGGTCTCCTAACCTTTCTTCTTTTTCAAATAAATTACATTTTGAGACACCCACCACCAATGGCGATGACAGATGGTTCGTTTCAAACGTTGTCCTGCAATGGGCACTTTTGTTTGCCCTTCTCACTTACAAGCCGGTACGCCCCTCCAGCCATTTTATAACTGATCGTGAGAAGGTTCGACAAGTGGGCAGAAACAGTAAAAACCCGCCATTAAGAAACTGGGTTTAGAACCGGTAAGGCTAAAATTTGTAAGTTAGACCCCCTCTATACAAGAACTAGAGGTTCTTATTTTGTAAAGTTCTGTACACTTGGGCAAAAAAGATAAGTCAACATTCAGGATCCTCTTGGCAGGTGCCATATCACTACAAATGCAATGTGAACATGTAATTAGTCATTTTTCATAAATACCAGTTTAGTATCTAGATTCAGCTGATTTTTTGGTGGGCAGATACAGGAAAAACCCGCGATTTCATTAAGATACTGATTTTGGAACCGATGAGGCTAAAATTTGCAAGTTCTATACTTTTTATTCAGCTGATTTTTTGTATAGGAATCAGCTGATTACGACTAAATATTATTGGCTACAGAGAACCTTTTTAAGAATCTGAATGGTCTAAACTTGTGACAATTATCATTTTTTTATGCAAGAATCTGTTTAGGCTTACCTGGGAAAACGTAGGTTCTTAGTCGAGGGTTTTACTGTAGTCGTCGGTAGTAACAACGGGCAGATGGAATGGCCGGGCTCCCACCGTAAAAAGAATTCTGATCTGACCGTAAAAAGATTTTTTTTTCTTCTGTAAGTTTTCATCGAAAGTTTTTCTTTTTAGGTAAAAAGTAGGATTTTCAAAGTTTGAATAATATTGTTACGCTTTGTGTTAGTCAAGATGGGTTCCTCCGTAATCACAAAGCAAATCATGAGGAGATTCAGTTTAACCCGTGTTCGAACATAGCCTGCGATCCAATCTTGCCCACCTTCATCTCTGCCCTTCTTTTTAGAAACATTTTAAAGTAGGTTAGTCTGCTACACAGCCGTTTTTAGTGTCGTCACGCAACGCTTCTAAATGTAGGTTAGTTAGAACAAAACATGTGGTGCTATGGCAACCGTCAAAACTTCAGTCAGTCAGTCTGTCTATCTGTCTGTCAGAACTAGAATAGGGTATCATTTATTTGCAATGATCAGTTGTAGGACGAATTGGAGTTTTTATTTCACAGTTAATAAGGCCGGAATATGATAAGAATCAGCATTGTCCCACAAGTGTTTAGTCTGGAGGCTCAAAGCTTCGGTTTCCCAGCGCCACACACCTTCATCCGAAAATTCCCACCCCGAACGAATGCACCTCACTATTTTCTCTAAGACGGACACCTTTGGGACCGGCCCTGACTGTCCGTCTTAGGGAGGTGTCCAGCTTATAGAGAGTCGAGGTGAATGTGACACCAGTGAGTTTAACGCTGAACCTATTGGCAATGAATACACGTCTGTTTAAATAACTTATACAAAACAGCTTACACTGGAAATTTTAATTGTAAGGGAAAGTGAAAATATTCTCTAATTATACAATAAAACGTTCATTACAAGCAGACGTTCACTATTTCGTGGTCTAAAAGCATACTAGCATACACTCTGCGAACTGGAACGAGGCTACAAAATATCAAACATTTTGCAATTTACTGTCAAGTACAGCATCTACATTTCCATTTTGAGGTATTTTTCACTACATAAAGCACTTCTCAATTGTTCGATGACGGTTTCAAAAGTCCCGGTTGTGCGTCTCAGAGAGATGTCCGTCTTATAGAGGTGTCTGTTAAGCGAGAGTTGACTGTAGCACTAGTTTAAGCCAAGAACATTCAGTTTATACATCATTTGTGAGAAAAAGAAAAAAGAAAACAACAACAACAGCAGCAACACTCGAGTAGTCCGAGTACCAAGCATGGCGCAAGATGAATCAAGGGCACCCATCAACCATCTTAAGTTAGGCTATTTTTTGTAGAAAAAAGGGAACCTACAATTTTCGGATTCAAAAATGTGACGGCGAGAGGAATCAAAAAATTTCTCACTTTCGTAATACGTCAAATCTTATCTAAAATTTTCGGAAAAATAATACTGAAGCCCTTGCAATTTCGAAAAGACTGAAGTTCCCCTGGCTAGGATGACCGAACAGATACAATTTTTATAGTGCCGCTTAGAATGCATTTCTAGATATCTAAAAGTACTATCGGTAACCTAAAACGTGTTTTCAATGTATTTAGGAGGAAACCGTCGTTGGGTGCCCCTGATAAATGCAAAGGACCTTGCTAAAGTATCTAACAAACAACCCCGGCGTTCTGGTCCTTCCCGTTTCTTTCTCTTGCTCCAGGAAGAAGAGAGACCTTAGTGGTTTACCATTCACAAAAAGTTTCCGGAAAACTCGGTTGGAAAGTAAATGGAACACGACTTTTTGGGTCGTTCAAGCTTTCATTATAGGCGTTATGTTTTCGCAGTTTTCACCCAGGCGAGTAAAGGCAAGCGCGAAGCGTGCGAGGAGCACTAGACACCCGCGACGGGGAAGGTGACTGGCACTCCCCACTCGCTTGAAAAACGCGAAAAAATAACGCCTGTTCATGTAGGCTAGGGTCGATTCAGCCGAAAATTTTCCGGAACAAGGGAACATTGAAAGCGTAGTCCTGTTTTCGCGGTCGGAATGTTCCAAACGGAAATTCTTGTTACCATCTTTGACCTTTGCGGCGGTATTTCGGTAAGTAGAACCGATCTGTGCAAACTGTAAACGTGATTCGTGGACGCAATTTACCAATCTTGAATTCTGATTACCATTTACCCAATCTGTGAGCCTATCGGTTTGTCCATGTAAATGGTAAAGCAAACCACAGGGAAGAGGCTGGTTCAAGCAACCCAAACGCCCTTTTATTTTCTCTTCCCCTCACCCACCCTCTTAGTTTTGTTGCGTTGCCAATGATCAGTTGCCTTACGAAATCACGTGACTTAAAGCTTGCGACTCAAATTGCACATTTCGAACTTTGCATTTGAAAGTTGGTGCTCGTTTCATCGGCTAAAATTCATTGTTCTGGGAGGCAAATAGCTAATTTTAATCCTTCTGCCAAGAGGCTAACTAATGGTATCCAACACTAAGTCTATCTTGTGATCAATGAATATTTAACTGGTCGGTAAAGAACAAGAAGAATCAGCAACACTACGAATCACTTCCTGTTTGAGTAAGGAATCAGTGATAGGACAAGTCTAACAAGAAGCCTAGAATATCAAGCGCAGAGGTATGTCTCTTTCGTTGCTTTAAATTCCTCTTCAGTGAAGATTCATTTCTGATTCGAGGAGGGCTTTTTCCAGAAATGAAACCCTTGACGAAAGGCAAAAGGCGAGTTAAGTAAAAGCGGCATGTTTGTAGACAGGACGTTACATGTCGATAGAAATCGATCCTCGGAAAGCAAGTCGATAAGTCGATAGTGCTCGATACTTGTCAATAATTTTCGATTGATAATATATGTTTGTCGATAAAAGTCGATAATCACAATGATCTAAAGGATCTAATGGATTTCGATCGCCAACAAAATCAAAACAATTTGTTTTAACTAACAGTAAGTCGATTGTTTTTTAGCATTGAACGTTTAAGCAGTTGTAAGGCATTTAACGAAAATGACAGTAAACAGCGATAAAATTGTATTGAATCAATCCCGAAAAAAGCAGATGTTATTATTGTTATGTCTGTTTAATATTGCCTTGCTTCGCAATGCCTTGTGATTGTAGGTTTGCAACACTCGAGTTCAATTCATACTTTCGTCATTGCCTAATCCCCCCTAGGCCTCATTACAGTTGCTAATAGAACTGAGTTATCTCATCTTAACCAGGCAACTTTTTTCCCCTTACTGCGCCGCGATTCTTTCGGTCAGCACTGAAACTGCACTGGCTTTTTATATGTTTCTTGAAAAGAGAGGTTTTGTAAGTGAAATAAATTTCGAATACAAATCTAGCCTGCAATCAGCCGTTGCTCTCATCCAAACAAAACAATAGACCATTTGCACTAAGAGGTCAGGTGACATCGTTTTTATATCAAATTGACTGGGACTCTGCGACATGTATAACGTATTCTACAGACTACTATCAACGTCTTACTTTAGAAAGCTGGTTTACTAACTTAGAACAAACGCCACTGAATCGTAGCCAACAGTTACCAGCGCCGTACAAACGACTTATTGACGAGATCAAGCAAAACTAACTACAAGAGAACGACTAGGGAGCTGACAATTTGACTAACAATAGACGACTGTTTAACTGTGACAATAGACGGATCGAAACGCACCAATTACTGATTACGAGTCTTCATAGCCAATAACATCATGGCTTAAAGGGACAGTGTCCCGATTATGCGCACGCGCGAGCGTCGTCTGTTTTTTCTTCAAAAGACAATAGAACTGTCACATTGACTCGACAAGATTTCCTTCCGGACCGCGCCGCCGACGGAGATTTGTTGTTTATATTCTCAAGTAATATTTAGACTTTCAAAGAAGTCTTTCGTCTTATTTAAAAATTGGCTCGCGGCACGAAGACTCATCGCGATTTTATTGCTAGCAGTGCCGTCTCGCGACCCGAAAATCTCGTTCTGCTCGCTTTTAAAACAGCTTTTCTAATGAGAATCTCGTGTCAGAGGTCAATTGTTCCAAGTCCAGTAATATTTACCTGATTTGCTCGCGTTCTAGCTTCAAACATTTGAAAGACATAAATAAAAATGCAATCTCAACGCTATGAATCATCGCAAAGGTTAATCAAAAATTATATTATGATTTCATGGCACTAGTTTTTCGAACCATGCAGCGCCTGTTTGTTTGATTTTAAAGGCCGTAGGGAGGTTCATTTAAAAGTTTACTAACGCGTCATTGCAAAACATTCTGCTTCAC